GGTGACCCTTCCTCAGAACTGATGGTGGCTGGGAAAACGTCAGTTTTGAGGAAGGGTCACCGGACCCGAAACGTTAACTCTGTTTTCTCCTCCACAGACGCTGCCAGACCAGCTGAGCTTTTCCAGCAACTTTGTTTTTGTTGTAATTGGATTCAAAGCTCGATGGTAGGAAGCAGAGGGTGATGGTTGAAGGTTGTTTCTAGGACTGGAAGGCCTGTGACGATTGGCGTGCCACAGGGATCGGTGTCGGACCTGTGTTATTTGTTATTTACATAAATGATCTGGGTGTGAACATACAAGGCACGGTTAGTAAGTTTGTGGATGATAGAAAATTAGGAGGCATCGTTTATAGCGAGGAAGGTTATCAGTATTTACAGAGGGATCTTGATCAGGCGGGGAAGTGGGCTGATGACTCACAACGCAATTTAATACAGATAAGTGTGAGGTGTTGCAGTCTGGAAAGTCAAACCAAGTTGAACTTATACCTGAGGAGTGTTGTGGAACAGAGGGACCTAGGAGTACACGTACATAGTTTGTTGAAAGCGGTATCACAGGTAGACAGGATGGTGAAGAAGGCATTTAGCACACTGGCCTTTATCAGTTGAGGCATTAAATATAGGAGTTGGGACGTTATGTTACAGCTGTATAAGTCGTTGGTGAGGCTGCACTTGGATATTTGTGTACAGTTTTGGTCACCTTGTGATAGGAAGGACATACTTAAACGGGAAAGTGTGCAAGGAAGATTTACGAGGACATTGCCAGGACTAGTAGACCTGAGTTACAGGGAGAGGTCGGCCAGGATAGGACTTTATACCTTAGAACGTAGGAGAATGAGGGGTGACTTTACTGAGGTGTATAAAATCATGAGGGGCATAGATAGGATGAATGCATATCGTGTTTTTCCCAGGGATGGGGAATTGAAAACCAGACGGCATGGGTTTAAGGTGAGAGGGGAAAGATGTAAGAAGGACCTGAGGAGCGGCTTCTTCACGCAGTGGTTGAGGCAGGTACAAGAGCAACATTTAAAAAACATTTGAATAGGTACATGGATGGGAATGGGTTGAGAGGGATATGGACCAAACGCGGACAATTGGGACGACCTGAGCAGGGCAGCATGGACCAGTTAGGGCCGAACGGCCTGTTTCTATGCTACGTTACTGCACGACCCCAGGGCGGTTACCGGATTAAATCTGAGAACGCAGGGGATATTTTGGAAAAGGTAGAGGGGGCAGAGACGGGGTAGGTGAGTCGGGCCGGCGAGAGACGCAGGATCAGGCGGAGCGAACGGGACAGCAGTGTGGGCTGAATGGCCCGCTCCGGTTCTGGGATGGACTCCCAAGTCGCGAGGGATAGATCCGCCGACCCGATCGCTCAGGTAGGGGTGCCCGCGCTCTCCCGGCCGCCTACCTTATAGACGATTAGATCGTGTTTTCCGTCTTGGAGGGTGGTACCGTCTGGTCTCATGAGCTTCACGAACGCCATCCCGAACAGCTTTTCCGACTTGTCCTTGGCTGGAGAACAAGGGGCATTAGCGATCCCTCACCTCAAAAAGAATACATCCCTCGCCCTTCCCAGAACGCTAACATATCGCAGCCGGGGTAGACTTGATGGGGGGGTCCCTGAAAGATGTGCCCCGATCGCTTCCGCGGCGCCAACTACATCCCCCCCCCCCCCGACCCCCGCTGATTCCCGGTGCCCTGGCAGGGAGCTATTCGAATGGACCGACCGTCGCAAGGCAGCCCGATTCCAGCCAGCGCCGGGAGAGCGGAGGCCACTTACACTCCTGCGAGGATCTGTGCCGGAAGGTGAACCGGAGGTGACAATGGCGGACGTCTTCGATTGCAATGGCCACCTTTCGAGGGGAGAGAGGCAGGCAGACAACGTCGTTAAACGGACCGGCTCTTTCCCCTCCACACCACCGCCACCCACCCCTCACAACCCCGACTCCCCGTCTCCTCTGAGACCTCAGCGACACACACGGGTGTCCGCAGCGTCCCCCCTGAAGTTCCCGTCCTCCGCGAACCGGAATCATTCGGGCCCGGCTATTCGACTGCGAGAGGCATCATGCAGGGTCGGTGTTTCTCCAGCCTGAGGTTGCGGGACCTCCCCAGTGAAGACACAAGGGCACTGCCCCCCTCAGCACTGACCCTCCAATAGTGCCCAC